GATATCGCGCAGAACAGAGATTCGCAATCAAGTCTATGGAAGCCGTTCGCACCTCTGCGATTCGTTGCGCGGTGGAAATCACGCGAAAGGGTGCAGGAGCTATTTTCGGGGGGGGTTGTCGCGCGGTTTGGGTCCCATGGACATCTCTATGCATTGAGAACAGCTCACCAGCTCAATCCCCGTGCCTTATTGTGTGCACTGAGATATTTGGGGTGCTAGAGTCCACTGGGGTCTGATATAGCTTAGGGCAGGGGTAACTTCGGCCCTCCAGCTATGGTGAAACTACAAATTCCATCGTGCATCTGCATCAGGAAGTCATATCTGTGGCTCTCAGAGTGCAATGTCTTGTAGCGCCACAGCAGCTGAGGGGGCCGAAGTCTGGATACACCGGGGTTCGGGAGATAGAGGCAGACGTTTCTCTTTCCATTAGGATTCAAGGTAGAAAGTAAAGAAGAGGAAGGGAAGGAGGAGGAAAGTAAAGAGGAAGGGAAGGGGTTGCCTGGGGTGAGAAGAGAGAGTTAGCGGAGGGGGAAGGGTTTGAAGCAGTCGGTAGGTATTATAGGGTAGGAAGGTGGAAGGGTTAGGGGGTAATAGGGTGTAGGGCAATAGGGTGTAGGGTAAAGGGGTTACGGAGAGATGAAAGGGGCATGGCACCTGGCCGGAATGCAGGGTCTGATGGATCTACACCCCAGGTGACCTAAGGAACGTGGCATGGGTGTCATTGCTTTTTTATTTCCGCCGATCCGTGTCCCAAATCAATTTTTTAAGGAAGTTGCTCTTTTTTCCCCTCTTGGCGACACATGTTGTGTATCTGTATACAAATCTTGTAATGGAAAACGTTATAAACATAGAAGAGTGACGGCAGAAAGAGACCGGGGGGTCCATTGAGACCGCAACTTATTCATTTTTCTATTATTATTATACAGGATATATAGAGCGCCAACAGTTTGCGCAGCGTTTTACAATATCATTTTTTTTGTTTGTTTTTGAATTTTTTTTGTCTGGGTATAGTCGGGGTATTTCGGTTTGTCGGGTATAGTCGGGGTATTTCGGTTTGTCGGGTATAGTCGGGGGTATTTCGGTTTGTCGGGTATAGTCGGGGTATTTCGGTTTGTCGGGTATAGTCGGGATATTTCGGTTTGTCGGGTATAGTCGGGATATTTCGGTGTGTCTGGGTATAGTCGGGGTATTTCGGTGTGTCGGGGTATAGTCGGGGTATTTCGGTTTGTCGGGTATAGTCGGGATATTTCGGTTTGTCGGGTATAGTCGGGATATTTCGGTGTGTCTGGGTATAGTCGGGGTATTTCGGTGTGTCGGGGTATAGTCGGGGTATTTCGGTTTGTCGGGTATAGTCGGGATATTTCGGTTTGTCGGGTATAGTCGGGGTATTTCGGTGTGTCTGGGTATAGTCGGGGTATAGTTGGTGTATTTCGCTTTGTCGGGGTATTTCGCTTTGTCTGGGTATGGTCGGGGGTATTTTGATTTGTCTGGGTATGGTCGGGGGTATTTTGCTTTGTCTGGGTATGGTCGGGGTATTTCGCTTTGTCGGGGTATTTCGCTTTGTCTGGGTATGGTCGGGGTATTTCGGTTAGTCTGGTGCTTTGTTGGGGTATTTCGCTTTGTCGGGGTATTTCGCTTTGTCAGTGTATAGTCGGGGTATTTCGGGCAGTCGGGGTATAGTTGGGGTATTTCAGGCAGTCGGGGTATTTCGGGCAGTCGGGGTATTTCGGGCAGTCGGGGTATAGTTGGGGTATTTCAGGCAGTCGGGGTATTTCGGGCAGTCGGGGTATAGATCTGTGTTTGTCCCAGGCATGTCTAAACTCATTCACTGTTCTCATCTCTGACTGGAAATGACTTTTCTTTGTTACTCCCAGTTCTGGCGGGGCCCCGGCCTCAAAAGGGTTATTCCCCCCCCAGCCCCCTTCCCCTCCTCTACACTCTTTATAGTGAGTGCATCAGCTGTACCTGGCAGCATCTGATTGGACAGTGAGAGGAGAGATGGAGCTCTGTGATTGGTCCACATCTCTCTGCTCTCTGCTCCAGAGGTGCAGTTGCAGCTGGAACCCATTATAGTCCGATGGGAAGTTTTGTGTATCACCGGCCCCGGCCTCATAGAGGGCGTCCAATTCTCTCACTTCCATACATTCCTGCCGCGTGCTTATGTTCCCCTACATGGTCCTCCGCTCATGTACAGGGAGGGCCTACAAATTCTCAGACAGTCCCCGAAAAACTAAATGTAAGAACATGAAGCCGATCTGCAAAAATTAGAGTGACAACAATGAAATGAATTGTACAAAATATCCTTTGTTTCTGAACTCATTCCAGCAATGACATCGCAGGGTATCCCGATGAGGGTTGGAGGAGCTTTGATTATGAGGGGCCCCCACCATCCCTGTGCTGAGTTCCTGGGTCTGTACCCCCGCTGTGCCCATTATGAGGGGCCCCCACCATCCCTGTGCCGAGTTCCCGGGTCTGTACACCCGCTGTGCCCATTATGAGGAGCTCCCCCATCCCTGTGCTGAGTTCCCGGGTCTGTACACCCGCTGTGCCCATTATGAGGGGCTCCCACCATCCCTAGTTACAATGACACCTAAAACTCCCATTACTGCAGGAAGAGAGCTGGGAATGATGACGGGGAGATCCCTGTGTTGGGGGTATCTACATATAAGAAGACAAGCATGCTCCACTTGCTAGACAAAGATCACTTTTGGGTGGACTGGCCCTTTAATGTACCTGTAGACAGATTACTTCACATACAGATGACCAGCAGCAGCAGGAGAAACTATGAGGACCCATTTACTTCTTTGAGGTGCATTAATGAGCACTATGTGGGGTAATAACGTGCATTGCGTAAGGACAGACACAACGCATGTTAATGCGCAACATAATACATGTTAACATGGCACGTATACATGCGTTGTGGCACGCTACAGTGCAGGTGCAATAGGGTGCCGTTCAAAATGAAATCTCTACCTTAGATTGTAAGCTCCTTGAGGGCAGGGATTGATGTGAATGTGCAACTACCCTGTTTCCCCGAAAATAAGACCTAGTACCATTTTTGGGGTGCTAGAGTCCACTGGGGTCTGATATAGGCTAGGGCAGGGGTAAGCCTAACTTCGGCCCTCCAGCTATGGTGAAACTACAAATTCCATCGTGCATCTGCATCAGGAAGTCATATCTGTGGCTCTCAGAGTGCAATGTCTTGCAGCTGAGGGTACCCCAAAAATAAGACTTAGTACCATTTTTGGGAATTGCTAAAATATAAGACCTACCCACGAAAATAAGACCTAGTTGTGACCATTCCCGGGGGCCGGTTGGTGGGCCTCGGTAGAGGAAGCGAGGCGGCAGCCCAGGGAGCAGAGCCGCATAACATGATGTTTCCTCTATAGCGCCGGCTCCTGTCACAGGCGGAGTCATACCAAATGCGCTCCCGCCTGTGAGGAATCCATAGTGAAAGCGCGCTGGTATGTACAGTCAGGGCAGCCACCAGGGGGGGTACAGCAGATACTCATGTAAGGGGCCCGGGCAGCCTGGGGGGCCCGCCCGAGTCCCTTACATGACTATCTGCCGATGTTGAAGGGCGAGGAGGGGGAGGCCTGGCCCTAGCAGCGCAGGGCCCAGGCATTGCTGCTCCAGTGGCTGTGAGACAAGCTAGGGCCCCATCAGCGACGCTGCTCGTCTGATGTCGGACTGGCCGGAAGTGACGTCACTCCTGGCCGGTCCGGCGGCAGACGAGGCCACGTGTGCAGGTAAGAGGAGCTAGGAAGGAAAGGAGGGAGGGATGCAGCCCTGACCAGCCAACCTGAGACACCTTCAGAGCCCACCATAGACAGTCTCAGATGGGCTGTGCAGCATCTATGGTGGGCTCTGCAGGGTCACTCTCAGGTGGGTCCTGTGTCCAGCGCGTCACTAAGCCCTGCGTCGAGCGGGGGGGGCTCGGCCTGAAGCCGTGTAAGGGGCCCTAAAATTTCTGATTGCTGCCCTGTGTACAGTGCTGCGTAAATTATCAGCGCTATATAAATACCAACAATAATAATAATCTCCCATTCAACGGCAAATCCATTCTTTCCAGTAGCTCGGTGCTGCCACACGCTGGCCGTTCTCGGTATCACAGCGCAGTCTCAGCCACCCTAATCTGGTACAAGTCCGATAGCACAAATATAGCCCATTACCCGGTGAAGTGCTCCTCACACACTGATATGTTATCTGTGGGAATTCTGAGAACTGCCACATGTCACAGAACAGCATGTACAATCCATCCATATATATAACACAGCGCCTTAATTACCCGGCTATAAACCTGCAGATAACTTATCACTCTCCCTCCTGCTCAATGACTCTGCACATTTCTTATTCTGGGCACCTGAATGCTTGACGGCGGCGGCTCTTATTCCTCTGCACTGTGCAGAGGACACTGAGCCAGTCACATCGGTCTCTGTACAGAGGAGCTTACACTTTAATGTACCCTCCCCCCCACAGTCACATCAGTCTCTGTACAGAGGAGCTTACACTCTAATGTCCCC